TGATAACACCTTACTGCGGAGGGCATATGATAGCAAAGCCACTATGCAGTAGTAAACAGGAGCTTTGTGGCTGGTGTCAGACTGAATTTAGGTGCTGTGAAAAGCCTCTGAAAAAAAATAATTCCAACAAGATGTGTGAGAAGCCAAGTCCCTACTGTGGATTGACCAAAAAAGTAATTAGATATTTTGGAGACTAATTGATATGCTCATATATAAGCAGTAAATAATTCAGAGTCTGCTGGGGCATAAGACTGAAAATATTCTGAGTCAATACATGTCATCATAGATGAGGAAAGACCCTAAATCTAACACAGCAAAATAATAAAATTCTTTTTCTAGAAAAAGGAGCTGACATAGTCTGAAATGTGAGAAGAAAATGCTATAGCACAGTGTAATTGATGAGCTGGGTTAGTAGAAATAGAATTACAGAAGGAGAGACCAATCATAACTAGTACAAGCCACAGTCTTCCATGAAAATCCTTTGTCTGTTGTCTTCTACCAAGGTTATTAGCTGTGATTACATGCATGGGACCTCATATTTTAGAGAAAGACATGGGTTACTCCTTGAGCTGAAGATTTTAATTCCTGCATAGTGGTAAATAGTTGCATTTCTCTCTTCTTTGAGAGAGGGTTTGTTAGCACACGCCTTCTACTTTGTCATACATAAAGTGTTCACATCTTCCTATTTCTGAATGTGTATGGTGGGCCTTGAAAGAGGAAATTCCAGTGACAAAGTGATCTGTTGGTCTATTAGCAGCTACTTACGAATCACAGAATCATAGAATATCTTCAGCTGAAGGGGACCCACAACAACTATTGAGGCCAAATCCTGAGCCCAAATCCCAAATCCAGGACAACCCCCAAACACACATAATTTAACTAAGATGTTGGTAACTACACTTCTTAAAATTCCTTTTTTAGCCCTTTGTACAAATTAAATTTATATTTTAAAACCCATACAATTAAACATGTGCAACATCTATGCATATGCAAATACTTAGAAACCAACTATAATTATGGTAATTATATTATTGATAAGGTAAATGATAAATGTAGAAGTCAGTACATTAATTTGGCCTGATTAATGGCTTGAAATGCTGCTTTTGTAAGTATTTTTTTTCTTTGAAAGCGAACCTATTCTCCAAATGTATTTAAAATGTTAATAAACTATTAAATGAACAAGTAACACTATATTCAACATTTTTACACCATTTCTACAGTGGGTAAAATTGTAGTATAAAGTTGGTGTATACTCGATAACAATTTACATGTTTATTTTACCATCTGGTAAATGTGTAAACGATATTTTGAGAAGCACATTTCAAATTCACTTTAACAACTTATCCCCGACAATATGTATCCTATCTCATGTACTGACTGGAAGGATTTTGAAAACCTCTCAGAGAGAAATGCAGTAACAAAACATTTATTTTTTTTAGTGATGAGTAAGATCAAGCTTAGCATCAAGTTGGAGGTCTTTCAATATTTAGGAAGGATTTTGGTGCATTACTGGTGTCAAAGAGAGATTTCAGATTGTTTTACACACTCTGGTATAAAGATATCATATCATCTTCCCTAAAGAAACCATAGGGTGCATAGGTAGTAATAACAAAACAAATACAGTTTGCTATGTTGTTGTATAACTGTATTGTATCCTTTCCAGGGGGTTTGAATTTGCTATCTCTTGTGTCTAAATATGGGAAGCTCATTATTAGAAGTGTTACATTGAACCCCAAGTGAATTGCTTTTCTCATGTACTTTAACAGCACTTTGACACTGCAGCCTTCTGCCTTTTTATTTTAGTCTTCTGTTTATTGGTCTCTCTGGATTAAATTGCAAGCACTTTCTTAAATACACCAAACTAGAGAATATTCTGTTGTAGCTCAGCTTTTATTCACCCTTTCCTAGCTGTTACCAATTTTAACTGAAAAACAAAAACCCAACAACCCTCCTCCCCAAATTAAAAAAAAAAAAATAAAAATCCAACCCCCCAAAAAGATTTCCTTTTTCTGCTTCCCCAACCCCCTCCAAAATTTAAAAAACCCTGCCCTGAAAGCAAGTCTGCCTGGAGAACACCTCCACACTAATGACCATCTGGCCAATCTGCAAATGAGGTTTGAGAGCAGATTTCAAATGTAGGCACCAGCTAGTCTGTGCCTTGCATTAGTCCATTAGAATTTAAAAGATTTGAAAGCATTTACTCAGCTAGAGAGGAGGCAGGTACCCTAACTTTGGGAAATCAAATAAGGCACCCCTTTGTTCCTCCCAGGGTCTAAATGTCCTTGCTCTGGTACCTGATCAGCAATGCTCCTTTAGAGTTTGTGGCAGCCAGCTTTGCTTGAGTATATACGTGTTATAATGGGTGACAATCTTAAGACACTTCTGAAAAAGCATTGGTGAAAAAATCCATAAAAAATTATTTGTATAAATTCTAATTAACTTCTGTACTGAAGTTAATGAATTACAACTGTAGTATATTTTTATTTACATGTTATTCAAAACCCTGATTAGCGCAGTCTAATCCAGTCCTGGTCTTGAGTAATCAGAGAAACCTGTGAGCTGCTCAGATTCTATGTGTGCTCCTAAAGTCAGGTTTTAGCCCAATAATAATAAAACCAGGTTGTCATTAAATAACAACTTTAAACTTAAAAAGATATTTCTATTTTTGAGGTTAATTAAGCCCACTGAATTTAACATTACTGTTTTGTTTCATTTGGTATTAAATATATTTTACTAATGAATGTTAGGCTTAGCAGGTATTTTCTCTTTTTGCTTACAGATGTTAGACAGGACCTTTCCCACTTGTAAATGAGCACAACCAAAGGTAATCTATTTCTTAGCAGACTGTTAAAGAAATATTTTTACTCTTTACCTCTCTTCCCTTTGCTGGCTTCTTGTTTTGTCTCAGCTCTGTGATAAGTGCTGTCAACCTTATGTAAAGAATAATTTGTTATTGTGTTTCCAATAATAAAAAAATGGATCCAGAAACTCTTTCAGCAAAAGAGCAATAGTTGTTAGGGATACCTACTGTAACAAAAGAACTTACTACAGGAGCTAATTATTTGATAGGTAAAGTCTGAGCTGAGAGCACCTGGAAACATTCAGAACTGAATCAGAGGTTTTCAGGACCAATAGAAGTTTTAAATATGTACTGGATTTATCTTTCTTTTAAGATTGGCTGCTGTTGTCCATATTGAAGAAGCAGGTGTTCACAAAATGATTCAGATGCTTAAAATGGTGTATAACTGGAATCACCTGGCAAAAATGAACAACTCTTGGAAAATCTACTTGATAGATATCTGGAGAGGCATCCTGAGATGATGCTGGTTTGAAGGTGGGCAGAAGATGGACAAAGCTTTGAATAGTGGGTAACATTGCTTTTATTGTTCTGCGTTAGAATTTTAATATTGCAAGTTGTAAAATGGAAAATAGTTTAGTCTGTAGCTATTTACTGTCAAACATGGCGCTTGCAGCCAGGAGTGCCAGCACTAGCAAGGAATCTGCCCCTTACCCCATGATCACCCTTATCATGGCACATTTCAAGAATAAGGTCTCCTGACTTGCAAAATGTAAGCTGTTTCCCTTTAAGTGAAAAAATATGCAAGCCCACTTAAGAATGATTTAATAAAAAAATGACCTTTTAAAAAAGTAAGTTAAAATTAATATTTAGTTCTTGTATTGTTAATATCTGGTGTTCATTTGCCTCAGAAAATCCCCTTTCCCATGGTTTTCTGTGTGTCTGCTTATTTCAAAAAATTGCAAATATCAAACTATGTATTCGGTGCTCTCTTTTAATTACAATTTTAAAATTAAATGTGACATTTTATAGATTTTGATATTGACTAAAATGGACCTTTTAAACTGACATAAATACATAAATTCAGATTGATAAATTTATTTCAGACTACCATATGGGAAGCCTGATTACAAGGGCATGTGGAGCACAAAGCCAATTAAAGATATTCTTACTTCTTACTGTGGACCATTGCTGCCCATGTTCCTTGGAAGCTAAATGGAATATAATTTACAAAAAAATATTAAGCTAAAGGTATCATCATAAATTCTTCCTTTATGTAGTCCTGTTCTCTATTGACAGTCAGATTTGCATTAAAGAACATGACACCAGTGACTTGCTGGCAGCTTAAGTAATTGGGGAAAAAAGTGGTTATTCATATGGAAACAGGAGTTGGCTCATTACAGCCAATCACCTGAATAGCAAATGGTATGGTTGCCAATAGATGGAGAAAAAGGCAAGTCTAGTGGAAAATAGGAGCATTTAAAGGCCAAGAAAAGACATATGGTATGTCTATGCTTGCCTTATACGCCTGGAAATTATAAATTAAGCTACAATATAGCCCACCACCTTAATGTGAAAATTTTCCATTTTTTCCCATCTTAATCTTAAGAAATTTATCAGATTTGGCTAGTAAGATTGACTGTCTCTTGTGTCAGCATTTAAGTTCTATACGAATATAATAGTTGAATTGATGCTTATCTAGTATTTAATTTTGTTATGGCCATAAAGGATGTACTTTTGAAATAAGCTCTCCTTCATAGCAATTGTAAATGTGGATCTGTTTTGTCCTTTACAGATGTCTATATTTCCATGAGGGTAGGCAAGAAAAAAGAGTGAATAGCTCTTGGCAGCTACTTTTTGTAAGGTAAATACTGCGGAGGTGACTAGAAATTTGTCTTCTGTAAACAGTTCAATGGCTATCTTTCTCATTCTTTGTTGGTTGTAGTAATAATTTAAATTTATTGTTCTAATGCTCTCCTGTACTCTGTTATTCCTATAATGAAATAGGAGTCCAAGTTTAAGTAACACTGGGCTTATCAAGGTGGCCACCTGACTGCTTTTCTGGTAAAGCGTTAGTAAATGTTGAGCATATTAAACCTTCTTAAATGTGCTTGTGAGGACACATTTCACTTGGGACAATAAGTTCTTGAACGTCTCAGGTCAGTCTGAGTTTTAACAAGATTTTATATGGCCTTAAGACTGTGAAGACTTATAGCCTTTTTTTTTTTTTTTGATAGATTCCTTATTTTAAATCATCCCATGATATTCTAAACCATCCCATGATATTCTAAACCATCCCATCTCATGTGGAAAACAGATGCTGAATTCTGCCCTTTTTTAAATTTCATGCTCTGAAACTCTGATGGTTTCTCCTTTTCACTTAGAAATAGTGACAAAACAACAAACACAGGACCATGATATGAGCTTCCTGGCCCTTACTTCTCCATTTATTTAATGTACCTGAAAGAGTTACTAAAATTTTATTTCTGGTTTTCATTCATGGGCTCTGAAAATATAGCATACTTTACATACTCCAAAGTCTCTTTGATTGTGGCTGAAAAAAATACAAATCTCTACTTAGCTAGTAAGTAATTTCTGCCTTCATTGTAGTGCTATAAGAACAATGAAGTTTAAAATTCTGTTTTGAACAAACTTCAGATCTAATGGAGGAACAGTGGACAGCAAAATGATGTATTATAACTAACATGCATTTAAGATTTGTTGTGTGATAGGTCTTGTCAAAGCCGCGGAATTTGGAGCTGCATAAAAATACATATAAACTTACCTGAAGTAATTGCATCTACAGAGTTTCTAAAATGGGTCCATTGGTGACAGTATACTCAGAGTTCTTACTCCACCCTCACCAGTGCTGGGTCCCTTCACAAGTACTTCTGTTCTCCTCTTTCTTGCTCTTTCTCTGCAGGTGAGTGGCCTGCTGGCTTAATTTCCCTATTTCATTTCAGCACAGGCACAATCAAATCATCCCAACTGGTGTCCCTTCTGACTGCAGAAATAAAGATTTTGAATCCACTCTAAACGTGACACGTCCCACATGCTTAGTTTGGATTTTCCGAGGTGCAGAGCAAATGTTTGCACAATTCTGAAAAAACACTGCTAGGAAAAGTTTTTAGGAATGTATCTCATTATCCTGGGATAACCCTGCACTCAGAGAATTAGAAATTTTTATTTCTACAAGTTCTACCTTGGTGACTTTTTTCATTCAGATCCAGAAGTCATCCCATAACTCTTCGATGAACCCTTACCAGGTAAGACCAGACTAGGTAACAAGAATCTTTCCCCACCAGTATGCACTGGCATCACTCATTTACTGTAGCTCCAATTAATGGTAGTAGAAGTTACACTTGTAAATTCCCCCACGCATTAATGAGTGAACAGACCCCCTCTGTTTAGTTAACCATCTTCCAGTTACCTGGCACTTTCCCCATCCCTTGTGAGATCTCAAATATTTAATTAAAGCCTTTCCCTTTTTTTCCTTTTTCTTTTTTTTTCCTCCCCCCACTCTCCTTCATTCAGTTTGTTGAGTTGTAATTCTTGTTGGCCTGATGCCTTGGCAACATTCAGCACTTCTAATTGCCTGTATAGTCTGGCCTAGTCATGGAGCCTTTTAACTTTCATTCAGGCTTCCAGCAGTATCAGCCTCACTGGTCACAAGCTTCCCACTCAGGTTCCGTTCACAGCCCTTTTGCTGATTACTTGTTATGTATTTAAAGAGCTCCATACTGTTTATTTCATTTCCTGTTTGAGATAGTCTGTTTGCTTAATTTTTTTCTATGCTAATTTAATTTTAAACATATAGGGCTGTCTTCCTGGTCAAACAAGCCAGAATTTTGCATCCATATGTTACATTAAATAATAATAAAACAACAAATAATAGTCAAAGCTTTCTACTTCTATAATGTCTACTATTCAATGATCTCATAGCATTCTTATTTTACAAGTGGTAAAATGGTGTCAAGAGACATGAACTACTTGTTAAACAATATGTATGACATCTGTTACAGAGCCAGACACAGGATTGAATAGTTGGGTTTTCATTAATAGCAGTTAGTCTAAAAATTGCAATATGCTATAGGAATTATTAGGTTAAAATATGCTTCAACAGAGTGGGCTGTACCCTGGTGGAGACATGTATTGTAGAGACTTTTGTTCTCAGAATATCGTCTTTATTGGCATATAAGGTGCAGATGGACAGGGGAATCCAATGGATATTCATGTGGACTCTGTAAAGGTTAGTCACCCATGTAATTATAATTCATGTTGATTTTAGAGGCACTATTATTAATCACAAATAGCCTGGTGGATTTTTGTTTCATTTTTTTGTCTGTGTGAAGATCTAGCATTCTTAATTCCCTTTAATTTCAGCAAACCTCTGGCTTACTATGGCTACAATACCTCATTTATGTCCCTGCTGAGATAATATGCTTATGTTATGAAATACGATAATATTTTCTGAATGTGTTCTTTTTCAGTGTCAAACAGCACATACAGATAAATTCAAAGTGATCACTATAATTTTTGGTTTTTAAGCTTGCCCATGCCCAGCAGCTGATCGTGGCTCTGTGCTGTGAGGGCTGCTAGGACCTCATCTATGGCAAGGTCAAATTCCTTTGATCACTCTGCAGGAGTCAATAGCTGATTTAATGCCTGCACTTTACGTTCAGAAGGTGCATGCTTGTATTCACTGTAACTGTGTGCTTAAAGGAAGATATTACATATGTGTGCTCTTCTTCCCAAGGTCAGAATGCAAGGGCAAAGAAGAACCAGCACAATTGTATCTGTAGCAAGTGTGAGTGGAGGCCAGGCTTGAAAAGAAGGAGGAACATTCCTTGCTGGCTAGGGTAGGTTCCCTAACATGGTGGTAAGCACGGTGAAATGATCTTTAATTGTTTTCAGGAGTGAAATCAGATTAGCTCTTCTGGTGACACCAAGTTTACCAGGGGCTCCATAGAAATAACAAGGTGCACTAGAAAGTTAACAGCTGAGATATGTGGAAGTAAAAAATGTTATACAATATCCTTGAAAGAAAAATCTTAAAATTAAATCTGATTGTTTCCTTAAGAACAACTCAAATTGTGATCATATCTGCAAAGCAGCAATATACCAAACAGCTTGCTACAAATTAAAAAGGATTTAATTTTTAACACAAATGTATGTCCAATTATTTCTATATTTCTACTTGTTTGACCAGCGTGTATTCTGAGCTAAGTGCTAAGCATAACTTGGTGCCCATGGCTGCATCTGGGCTTCCTTTGGATAGGGACTGTGTGGGCTTTTGAACAATAGTGTGCCAAGCAATGTATCATGAATCCTAATTGTTTTAGAAAACAGTTGTTTTTTTTTTCTTCAGCAAATACTGTCATATCCACATTATTAACATAGATATATATAATCATTTTGAAAATCATTCTCGGTTTGAAGAATTCTAATGCTTCATACAGTGATTATGCAAAAGTCTCATGTATAAGCAATACCGATGTTACTGGAAGCGCCTCTTACAGAGTCCAAATATAGCAGATCAAATCAAAACTGTGCTACATCTTAAGCAACTGTTGACCCATTTCCATATCAAATTGGTTTCAGTTATAGAAGACTTTGCTTTTTCTTTTGGAGATATTTACTTGCACTGTTCTAGTTCAAGTATAGTAACAGCACATTTTATTCTAAGGTAATTTAATAACCAGTCAATTGTTCAGTTGTTTTTAACTAGGTTTATTAACAACTTACTAATTAAGAGACTATCATAATAAAAAGCTTTTTTCTGCTCTGTGGTATATGAATGTACCACTGGCTCCTGTAAAATCAGTTGCCATGTTTCAGCACATGCAGGAAGCTGGTGTTAGGTGCTATGCCATGTGCAGGATGCCCACCAGTTGGCTTGATAAGCTCAGTCCTAAATATCTAACTTAAATAAACTGAGGCGAGGAAATTCTATTTTAAAATTTTCACTTTGGCCCTTGTTTATCCTGCTTTTTTTTTTTGGGAAGGCAAAGGGTGGGGGGATCAGCACAGTTAATAGACTGTGGTATATCAGTCAAATTCTAGAGATTGCTATAAATACCTAGAGTAGGAAGAAGGTGAGTTGTTAGAGGTGTAACTTGTTTGTGTCACTTTGTTAGAACATTAGCAGTATCTCAACATAGATTTCTTTTTTGGCTTCTAATGGTCTATTCATTTCACCAGGGAGAGGATGGGGAGAATGTGCTACTGCTGTTTTTCTGGCATGAACTGCCATTCCCTTTGGTGGCTCCTGGAGTCTCCCTGGGCGGCAGCGGTCCCTGTGGCAGGGATTGCTGCCAGAGCTGGCTCTCCCTGCTGCCACGTTTCCTACAGCTGTGCCACTGTGTGTGGACATCGGTGTAGGTGACATTGCTGAATAGTAAATCTCAGGCCCAAGTAACATTTTAAAACAGGATTTACTTTTTGCACAAAAAATGTATAGCCCAGGCAGGAGGCCAGCTGGGACTGCAGCAGGCTTGCCAGTGCCTGTGCTCCAAATAGTCTATTATGTCGTATGTGATCAAGCCACACCTACAGAATTAATTACATAGTATGAACAATATTTGAATGTTACAATAAATTTGTCTTTTTTCCAATGGTTGGCATTTTAAAAATTTTTATATGTGCATAAAAGTCTAAGCATCTTAGACAAAAAGATGCTTGTTTAACATGCAAATGTTATTCACACTATATACTACAGTAAATAATATTATTTGAAGAATAAATGTAATAGATTATTTAGGTGATTTTGATACCTTAACAGTGGTTCTTTGCTGAGGTCGTGGATTTTTTTGTCATCGGTGGCCGTGCAAATGTACAAGAATATAATTTGTAAACTTACTATATTTGTACTTTTGCAATTTTTCTTTTGAAAAGTGGTTTCTAGTAATTTGGGAGAGTAGTGCTAACATCAGAGTTCTTCGTAATAACTAAACATCTTTTCTGGGGATATGGTTTTACATGCCACTTCTCAAAATACATTTCTGATCTATGTTAGCAGAAGCTATTCTTTCCTCCCCAAGCTCAACATCGGTATGTTAAATATAGAAATGACAAACATGTGTGGTTTTATGTCTCATGTCAAAGATGATGCCTTCAGAAAGCACAGCCTTTTCCATTACAGTGCCAGGGCAGGGTACAGGGTATTAGCTGACAGGCATGAGAATCTTTTACAAGGCCTGTCCTCATGGCAGAACTGGCAGGTTACAGCCTGCTCCAGCCTCCCTGGAGCTCCTGCTCCTCAGTAGTGCTGAGCTCTGTGTCCTCCACCTCTGTAGTGGACCTCTAGAAGCACGGGTCTATTGAGGGCCTGGTGGGCCATGAGAAAAACTGCCTGTCCTGACAATAATCTGTAAGGGAACATTTTCATATCAGAGAATGCAGATTTTTTGAAATGGCTTTTTAAATGGAGGAAGTTTGGTTGAAGAAGCAAGCAGTGTCAGGAAAGGTTGCTGATTCCTGAAGGTTCCTTTCCAGGCTGGTATTCCAGCTTTATGTTAACATGTGTAACAGGTTGCTCTCATAACTGGACAGATTTGGATCCTCTCTGTCTTATTGATAAGCCTTTTAAGGCTGAAGGACACAATTTTGTTGTTGACTTGTTCCTGATAGAAACCCAAACATCCTGATGGAAACTCAAAACCTGTGAGACTTTGAAGTTACTGTGAAAGCCAGGGCTTATCATCTCCAAGTTTCTCAGAGTAAGGCCTATTGTAATTCCCTTCACCACTGATTATCAGTCCTATTGCAACTATTAATGGCCGTGATTAATTACAGTATTGAAACTGTAATTTTACAGTGCCCGAGAAACAAAACTCACCTTTGTAATCATGTTTTAGGTTATCTCTGGCTGCAGACTGTGAGAATGATAGATGTATTTGTGAATTTTAGGGCAAATGCCAGTTAAGGGAAACCTGAATCTAGGCTCAGGTATCCAGCATTTTGTCTCTGTGGATAACATATCTACCTGAAAGCAGGGAAAGAGAAACAAATGCTTTTGTAAATCAAAGTGGCATTCTTCAGCTGGAATCCTGTTATACGTCATAAGACACTAAAAATACAATTTTTAGTGAACTCCTCAAATTAATGGCTTTTTTTGAAATGTTCCACTGCATTTGGCAAAATGAAGAAAAGAACCTCATGTAATTGAAAAATTATTTGGAATAAATAAAGCAGCTGTTATTAGCATTTAGCTTTGTATATCATAAAACCTATTTATGTTCAGGTTTGGTGATTATGCAACTCGAGTCATTCTTAAATCAGAGACATGGGTCTGACTCATAACTAAACAACTCACTTTTGTTTTCCTTCGGGGATCTTCAGCCTGGCTTTGTTCAATGAAACTGAATATGCCACATTAGAGCACAAGCAGATGATTACCAACAATGTTTATTGATGCTACCACTAAGAGAAAATGGCAGACTGATATAAAATAAAGAGACTTAGCAGATGGGATATTGGCATTTGAATTGGTTGAAATAGATTACTGATTTTACCCCAAACCTGCCCTTTTATGAACACTACTGTATTATCGCTTGTTGTAGAACTGTAAATCATATTCATCCTTATAAAATTATTTCCTATTCCAACTCAGAGTATTTATTATTATATATGCAAACAAGATTTTATTATCAGGGGAATCTAATGCAAGGTTCCTTGTTAGAGCTCCTGTCAGCACTGACTTGAGACATCAGCTGCCAGCAGAGAAAGTTAGATTAAAAGAAACGTTTATTGTTTTTAGGCATCCCCTTAATATAAAACCAGCAAAAACGGATCTGCAAACATAATTAGACACATGGCTCTAATTGAAATAAATAGAATTAGAAGCAACATCAAGGAGCCTGCCTTTCAGTAAGCTCCTGTGACTGAGCAGTGCTGAGAACCACATGAGTCTGAAAAGGGATTCGGACAACCCAGCTCAGGGGCAGAGCTGAGACCTGCCTTGAGTCTGCTAAAGACGAAATGCAGATGTAGCATAGCCTAGAATAAGTGTAAGAAATTAGGGAGTTCAGGCTCTCTGAATGTGGCTCTAGGTGCCTAAATAAGGCTGTAAGGTCTTGTTTATGGTAATTCTCATGGACTCCAAGCTAGTGTGGGGAGCCATGTGATGATTGATTAGTATTTTGGTTTTAACATTGAGCATTTTGTGCTATGAACATCCAGCAAGCCCTGCAGGCTTCATTACCCTATGTTGTGGGTCAAGACATGTTCTTTACGTGTAGGTCACCAAAACAGTCCAGACTCATCAATATTTGTTCTGGAGGCTTTTTGCACTGGATATGGTTCTTGATGTATTTGAATTAACAATGACCCTTAGTACCCAGGATGATTCATCACAATTGCCAATGCATATTTATAGCAGCAAAAATTCATTCAGTGCTAGTCAAGGAAATCGTGTGTGAATTTAAGTCCAGTTGGCAAGGTAGTACAGTATCTGAAATGTTGGCTGTGCAGCAGCTGTCATTCTATGCCAATCTATTCTATCATACAGTAAGCAGGTGGCTCACACATATTGTTTTTACTACATATCATTTTAATTTTGCAATGTCTCACTGAAATAGGAAATGTGTGCTACTGATTTCAATAAGATTTTCTTTATTGAAGCCAGGAGAGCATGTTAATAGCATGCAGCAATTTACAGTGTAGTTAAAGTAATACAGCAGCTGGTGAACCTGTTTATTCCCTATGGCTGTAGTTGTATATCAGTCTTAAGTGTAGCTAATTAACTCCTATTCATTAGAGATTTTACATAAATTCAAGCAGAAAAGAGAATACAAGCCTCAAACAGTTTGTGTTCCTTCAGCACCCTTTTGTGATGCCATACTGCAGCAGCCCATCTCCT